AATACGAACTGTATTTTTTGTTGAAGCTTTTGCTGTCCAGAGAAGGCAGTAATTAATGACAATTAATGTCAAGTATGACAAATCTTTTTGAGAAAGATAACTACTGCAAAAATTACTATCTCCATCCTTTCTTAGTGAGAAAAACTGAAAGTGAAATAATCTTGCTCAATCTGTGCCAATTTTCAGAGATGATGTTGACAGAAAATCACTTATTTCCCTTGCTGAGTTGGGCAAACAGCAAAATATGTACAACTGTAGGTAGTTATCAAATTAGAGTAGTTGCATCTCTATGTGCTGAAGAAAAGGGAAGGGTACAATCCCATAAAGTATAATAATAGACAAGATATGAGTGGCAAAACATGTACACAATCCCAATAGATGGTAACAACCTTATTCTACAAATGACTTCTCAAAAATAAATGCAAACGAATTCAACAGTGTTTGTTTCCAAGTAACCATGCATAAATTCACATATGTATATATTATACAAAAGAATAACGTCTCCACTATTTTACATACATTAACAAAGTACTTGCTTTCCTAGAACTCACAGAAAAATGGAAAGGTGGCTGATTCATTTTTTGTATATTCATTACAAGTAGTGCATTATCCTCACTATGACACTGAACATTTATATTGCTGTGTCAAGGCATCTGAACTGGGACATATCCACACTTGAGCTGTTTTCTTTCTATATTCAGATTTTTATTTGTATGCACTTCTGAGACACTTTGGCTGAGATCAAATATTAGCTTTAGACATGCTCAAAATAATTTCTGCTGCTTACCAAAAGGCAACTTTGGTCTTGAGATTTGTTGCAGTAACGTTGCTCTAAAATCCACAATGATGAAAGTATGGCAGATGAAGATATTTTTACATGCATCATTGGTTGGCACTCCTGAAATGTCCCCAAGATGGGATCTTGAAACATTCTTTTACTGGACCATCTGATCATCCATTCAAGTAAACGAGATATATTATTAAATTTAAGGTGCATTTCTGGAGTTGGCTCCTCTTGCTGTGTAATGTCATTCACTTGTCCAGTTTTGCAGATATATTTATGAAGCAGAGCTCTTTTAGGGGTAGACCAACATTGACCTAATGCTGACATAAATGTTATTTTCTTACTGGAATCATGTGTGTCACTGACTGATTGCTGGCTTTGACCAAATAATCCTCTTCTTTTATTAAGTCTCATAACTGAATCAGAAACAGAAAGCTCTAATGGTTGTTGAACAGCTAAAGTTTCTTTTTCACAATCTTTTTTCTTTTTATCACATAAAGGAGCTAATTTAGAATCACTAGATCCAAAAACAAGGGTGTAGCAAGAACCAGCTCTAAATGCATTCTGGACTTCAGTTCTGACCTGTCGACGTTTCAGTGTTGTATGAACATCAAAAAGAAGAGAGTGGAGCTCATGTTCTCTAAGGAGTGCTGAAAAGCATGTCAGAAAAGGAACAGCAGATTCACTGTGATTGAGTGGATCTCTTTCAAGCACATAAGTTAGAAAAAGGTCTAAAAATTTAATATATTCATCATCATCACGTTCAAATTCCCATTCACCGACTAGAGGCATACGGAGTTGATTGGGAAAGTCGTTATGTATCTCTTTTTTATTATCTCCTTCCCCACTGCAGTCCTTTAACTTTTCACTCCATTCTTTAGGGTTGGAAACATCTCTACAACAGGGTAAATCCCTACAAAACAGATTAAAAATAACATATAAAAAGCAAATTCTTCTGTAAATCCATAAAGGCAGGGGAACTGCTTTCAATCCAGGAAAGAAATTAAGATTACAAAATAGCTAAGAGTAAAATAAAGCTACCTATCATGATTTCAATCAAATGCTAACTCCTTATGAAAAATATTAATTATACTGAAAAATACATTAAATATTATTTTTATGATAATCGCATGTTTATTATGTTCTTCTGCTTTAAGGATTTTCTTCAGTGAATAGGGCTGGTCCACTGCTGTACCCTCACTTTGCTGTGTAATCCCAGCATCAATGGAGATAAGAGGAGCAGAACAAAGACATGAGGCTGTTAGGTTGCGGTCCAATGCCCACTTACATAAAAGTGAGCCAGATGGAACCTGATGCAAAGTAAACCTGCACAATTTCATAAAGTTAAAATAACATGATATACAAAGTAACACTTTGTCTGTTTTAAGACAAAGAATTATAAACACTTACTTGGAATCTTCTTGCCTCAGTTTTCTTGCTTCTTCTGTCACCAAAAACTCAGAAACTGAATCTGCTGGTTCAGCATCGTTATAACCCTGAAGGTTTCCCAGATCTGAAATTGTGCTTCTGCTTAGAGTAGTCCCCAAAGAAAACTGATCATAGCAGGAAACTCCAGGGTCTTGCATCTCTTCTTCTGGTGGCTCCCAGATACTTGTTTGAATGGGTCCTATGTTTCTTATCACGCGTTTCAGGGTTTTCACATTCACTTTGTAAGCAGCCTGTAGAACAACGGACATCATTTCTTCACTGTTGGGGCCTAACCATAAAGACATAAAATGTGTTATTTCTAAAATGGATCACATTAACTAGTCATTTTAATTGAGATTTCAGATAATTTATTTTGTATGATAAATTTCATATGTAATGGGCGTGTAATTCCATTCTGTATGTGTTTATTCAATATATGCAATTTCTCTTGACCAATAATCTACATGTAATTTATTGTTTTCTTTCTGTAAGAATTCTGGATATCGTTGTTCACATTACTTAAAAATTGTATTTCATACTATGAATTTATATTTTCAGTTTTCAAGGAAGTTTCTTTTTAAGAAAAAATACTGCTTTGCTTTCATTCCTTTCCCTTTGTCATATACTGTACCTTTAACTGTGCAGTGCCTAAATTGCTTGTATAGATCATTATATTTATCCCTTAAGGGGACCCTCACATCTTCAAGGCTAGGAAATGCTTTCACCAAAATTTCTGCCACCTGTACAAAACAAACAAGAATGAAAACACTTTCAAGATTGCTTTCAGCTACTTGATAAATTTTCCAAAAACAGATTGCATGCTTGTAAAAACAAACATTCAAAGATATATAAAGAAAGCTAAATTCTTTAGTCCTCCATACCTTTTTAATTGGTGGTAATTCTCCAATAAGGCTCAGAATGATATCCTGGACAAGTTCTTCAATGTTCATAAATCTAGCAAAAGGAAGCATTCGGCAAGCCCACTCCAAAGCATTGATAGAGTACTCAACTATACAAGCATCAAATTCGATCCTCTTGAATTCCTAAAGAAAGAACATCTTGTTAATTGTCCTAAAAATCAATATGCATGGCGACTGTCATCTCAAACTACCTGTGATGTAAACCCATTTGTTAAACCCTGGCCTGCCACGAATATATATAATGTTAAGGGATTTAAATAAAGCTGAAGCCATGGATAAAGGGAATACAGACTACAGATCATCCCCCTGTAGCTTGTCACCTAAGTTTATTTCTCTTTCTAGATGAACCCCAATACTAGAATAGAAACTTAATTAAGGAAGAGGGTGTTTTTTTTTCCTTTTAAAACTGGACCCAACTATTCATTTTATGAGTGATTCAGGTAGGTTGGATTTAAACCTATAGATCTGCCCTTGTGCTGTACTGTATAAACTTTGTCTATGACTATTATTAAAAATATTTCTAGGCAACTTTTAAGATCAAACCTCTCCCAGAGCGGCTTACAAATATGGAACATAATATTAATAAAATCAGTATGAAAATAAACATGATATGATTATGATTATTTCTAGAGGAAATCCCAACTACAGTAATCAAATACCTTAAGGGACAAACTTAAAAATCAGCAGTGGTAAGTAGGGAGTGACTTCCTAAGTGTGGGACTGTTACAAAAAAGGACCTCTTTCTGATTTAAACTGACTTAGCTTAAACTTTCTAATCAGAAAAAAGACGAAAAGGTGAGAAGATAATATCCTATATCATTCAGTGTGACTTTAAAGTTTCATGCTATTTTAATTACATTCTGGTTTTCCAACTTCTCCCTTGCCCTTTGATACCGCCTGCAACTATCAGACAACCTTTCACGAACATGAAGCATCCAGCACAATATACATAATTCTCGAAAGCATCCTGCAACAGAGAGACACATAGAAAATTCAAAGAGGTGGCGCGGGGAAGTACATCACAAAACAAGTGTCATTTCTACATTTTCACTTAAAATAGTTTCTTTATAAGTAATAGCATCTGCAAGCAAACAATATATTTTAATGGTCATATTATTCACTATCATCAGCTTGCTCGCTTTCTATCGATTAACCTTAACTGTGGTTGATTTAAAAAAAACCAACTATATTATTCCTTCTAAGTTAATTAATTTTATATTCTATACTAATAAGACCAAATTAATAGAAAGAAACTGATTTCAGGGGAGTAAGTAGTCCATTAACAGTTTCTACATAGTTAAGGTGCTATAATTAATAATATAAGGCTTACATTTATTAGATGATAATTTCATGTCAAGTGACATTTCATTAGGACAACAGAGATATAACAATAACAACAACATTGCTGTTCAGTTTTTGTTCATTTTGACATGTCTGCAGGAAGTGTCTTGGTTCAGAACTATGATTCAAGATTGCAGTATTATTTAATACCGTTACTCTAAGACCCAGGTGACATAACCTGGGTATAACCCAGGGAATTTCAGATCCAGTCACCACAGAAGCTTCCTGAATTTCTCTGGGCTGTTCATTATATATCAGGCCAGTTATCTCACACAGAGAGTATTGTAAGGATAAAATGGAAGGAACATTATGTATGCTACCTTGCCTTCCTAGAAGAAAGATGGTATGTATGTACTGTAAATCTATCAAATGAAAATAAATTTTAAAATGTATCTCCAGTACATAACATTTTACTGCATGAGGGAATCAGTATGAAAAAACTAGGACTGAGAGCCTGATCTCTTCATTTTACAGCAACAGAACCAATACATGCTTATTTACAGATCATTTTACCCAACTTATTAATGACAAGTCACATGAAAAGTTAAAATTGCCCTCTCACAAGTAGCTTGGGTCCTTTAATGAGATTTACTGAAAAGGAATGGAATGAGGTTAGAAAAGTCAACAACTTGATTGCTTTCATTTTACAACCCAATTTATTTCTCAGCTTCTTATGGTGGAAACCTTTTCTTCTTTTACCACACAGACGCTCAATTTAATGGGCCAGGAAACTAATTCGTTGGCTGATAGCTGAGGAACGTGCAAGGGGCCAGGATGAGAATCTCCCTCAGGCTCTGAACATACCATTAAACCTAGATTAGATGACAATATATTTAGTACAGTGCCTAAACACTTTAAAAGGGCTACTATGGAGAGACAAGTTTCCTTGCTTTGGACTTTATTCTTCTTTAAACATGTATTGGAATTTCTTCAGATACAGACCTATAGTTTTACATGAAACAGCATCAAAGTTATGGTCTCCAGAAGACGTGGGTCTTAAGAACACTGTATGGTATTTGGAATAATTAAGCAAATTTTCTGGAAGAGCACTTAAAGGAAGAAGAGCACTTTTTTTGCGAATCTGAAAGGAGAAAGGGACAAAATTTACAGAAAACAAAATCTGTGGTAAGTTGCAATAATTGTTCCTCAGTTTTTCCTACTGACTCTATACTTCAAGATTTACACAAAATCCACTTAAATAGGACAGAATATGAAGGGTGATACTCTTGTATTGTGAGAGTGATATATAAGAGGACACCAAATGTACAAGAGAAAGCAGATGACAGAATAAAAAAAGCTGATACTAATTCGTGAGAATTAGCTAGGGGGCATAAAAGATAAGACTTGTTGCAACAATGGATCAGAAAGACTTTATATAAAGTCTGTTTTAGTAATCAGGTACTCTATTACAATGGTCAAAATTAAATGTTGCATTAGTATTTCTAAACCGAATGCTGCCAGTTTCCTAATTTCACCAGATGTGAGACCTTGAAGGTCTGCTGCTTCTGCTGGTCTACCAGCCTCCCTGTTGTGTAGCAACATCCCTGGCTGAACCGCTTGATTCCGCTGCTAGTTGGAGGTGGAATCCTTGAGATTGATAGTCCTCCAGGATTTTAACCTGCCTTCAGCTGGCATAGAACTTGAGGTAGCTCAGGAGTTCACAGCAATCATGGCAACCATGGACCTGTCCCAAATTATTGAGGGCCTAATGCATACCAGAATTCATGTACTAGATTTGGTTTTTGTCTCATGGCAGTTACACTGTGATCTCAAGATGGAGGAGGGGTTTCAAAAGATACTGGGTTTTTTTTCCAAAGATTTTGATGAGTTATTCAGCTGAGGCCTTAGTTGCTGCCTGCAATAGGCAGATGATGAGAGCTTTGGACTGGATGGCTCCTGTGGGGCCTCTCACTGCATCAATCCTGGATGACCCCTTGGCTTTCTGAACTTTGGGAGATGAAAAGTCAGAACAGACACCTAGAGTGCCAGTGGAGGAAAATGAAGAGTGAATCTATCTGAACACACCTAATTGTTGTGCCTTCACTGTGTCAGCTGGCAAAACTTCAAACTTGCTCATGCAGAGTTTTCCTTACACCTGGATCCATACTGCACCCACCCTGGGCTTGTTCCTGTAGAGCCTCTCATGGTGCTTTCCATTGGAACCCACCCCTTGCAGGGTTCTCCACCCCAAAAACTTCCCTGGCCAAATTTCCCCAAGTGTATCTTCAAATGGGTTCAGGATTGGAGAAGAAAAGGGATATAGCAGAAACCACAAGCCTGCAAAGTGGTAGGAGTGCACTGCAAGTGATTGACTGCCTCCCCTCTCATCCTTCCAATCCGAGTCACGGCACCAAACTGTTGTGGGCAAAACCTGGCTTAGCTAAAACAATCAAATCACTTTGAAGATGCAACATAATTTATTAGCATGCATACAGTATATACTGGGATCCCAGCAAAACTTTGGCAGTTTGCTGAGCAGTCCTGATCAAAAGCAGAACCAGAGCTTATATACCTTTGGCCTACTACATTGCAAAGACAAGACAAAGGAAAAAGGCAGACACAGTGTAAATTACAGCATGATGCTGGAATGGTTTAGATAAAACTATCCATGTGACCTTATTATTTATCCCTTCCTACTAGGTCATCGTGCTAGCCATACCATCTTTGAGATATGGTGAGTATGAACAATTTGGTTTTCTGGGCCACAGGTTCATGACTGATTCTTCTACCTCTCACAACTCAGGGTCATTTCAGCTTGCTGTAAATATTTTCTTACAAGGGCACTTTGTAAGCAGTTTGCATGTTATGGGGGCAGGAGGGAGGGTATCTCACAGGTTTGGTAGTGAATGCAGCTTACATGTGTGTGTGGGGGGGTACCTTTTACCACCACACTAGGGATTATATTAGGGCAATAAGACTGGTAAAGCATAGTTATTTCTTCCTCTTATTATATCTGCTAATAGCCAACCAGTTGCTTTTTTTCAGGTGGCCCATTCCTTGTTGGGGAGGAACAGACCTTGTGACCATTTATTAGGCCACTGTGAATATTCCAGACATATACCGGATAAATCTCTTGGATCTGCACTCTGACTGGCATGTTCCAGTTGAGGCGCCAGAAGCACTGTCTTGCTTGGTTAACCGGGAAGAGTTTGATACTGTAATTCCTGATGAAATAGGCATGTTCCTCAGGGCTGCTATCCAGCCATCTGATTGTTAGACCTTTGTCCCTCCTAATTTGTGAAGACCATTTGAGAAGTGATATATGGTTGGGTACTGGCCTTTGTCAAAGAGGGGGTGGTTCTGCTAGCCTTGAAGGAGGGGCGTGGTATACCCTTCCTTAAGAGAACATCAGTGGATCCAATCATCCTGGACAGTCCAATCTAAAGCCTCTCCTTTTTGGGAAAGCTGTAAAGAACATGGTTGGGCTGCAGCTACATGATATTTGCCTTCCAGAGATTATCATTTAAAATATCACATCTGAAATTAACCTACAGGATAGTGAAAATTATAGATTTAAGGTAAAGAAAATACATAAAGGTTAGACCTATCATAAAGTTCTATGAAATATATCAGGTCTAAAAAAGTTATTTTCCATATATTAGCATCACTTCTTATAATGTTAAAAATAATCTCAGAAGTATACCTTTTGCATAACTTTTCGTGCATGTTTCAGCTGCACAATATACCACTGAGCAGCAGCAAAAGAACAATGAGCAGCTCGGAAAAGAAGAAGAATCCGTTGAACAATTGCAGATACCTTCTGTCTGCAGTCTCTCTCCATTCTTAATGGTAAGTCAGTATATTCTTCCTAAACATTGTAAAATTTAAAAGGCTTACCATGTGAAAATTCCCAAGGAAAGAGTGAGCCCGAGATAAACTGCCCATCCTAATTCTTTTTATTTACTAGAGTCTGAAAAACTAAGAGAAGTGCTATAGTTTCCAAATATTTACAAATGTGTTTTATGATCAAGTAAATATAAACAAACATATATACTTAGATATACTCAGTGAAAGTTTAGTTCATAGGGGTTAATTTACTGCAACAGAAAGAACTAAGCTAAGCTAAGGAACTAAGTTCCTTGCACAAATACACATTCAATATTTTATATAGGAACAGAGATACCATATCCTCCACAGTAGGGAAGCATTTATCTACCTCTGGGTTCCTATAGTGGGTTACATAGTGTTCCTTTGTACACTAAAGAAACTGGAACAAATACACAAAAATATAAGTAGCATTGATTCTTTGCTATAGCACCTCATAAGTAAGTAAGTAAGTAAAGCTAATGTTTCTTTGAAAGAAAAAACTAGTTTGAAATGCAATAGGAAAAATTAGCAAGACAAAATTAAGAAAATGTTCATACAATATTGAGATGCTTACTTCACTAACAAATGTTGGCTGAGGACAATATAAAGGTGGTGCTGGAAGATATAAGCCATCAGGAACCAAGCCGCAGAATTTTCTACTACGATCTTTGGCAAAGTCCATCAAAACCTGAAAGGTTTCTGACAGAATGTCTGCTTCTGCCATAACAGCTGCTTTTAGTATTTGTTCTACTGAACTAAAAAGAGCATTTGCATCTTCTTCTTCAATAGGATCTAAAGCAAGCAAGCAGAGAAAGTAATAAATATAGGGTTAAATATGGAAATACATTTTAGCTCAAAATTACACCTACACTGAGTTATTAATATAATTTCCCAAGAATTTTGCATTTCATTTCATTTAGACTGTATTGTGAATTCTGAAAGCCAATGCTAAGTATAGAGTGTATGGCAGTTTTACTTTCAAACTGCTGCCTCACTTAATTAGCATGGCCAAGGATCCTGGCCAATGCCAGGAGTATTTTATTCAGAATTTTGATATATCAGTTGCAGCATTTAATCCAGAAGAAAAAGTTACGGAACCTTGGTGTTGCCTTACCTTTAAAAACTATAATGATAACAATCACTAGAATAAATGGATTTCAGTTTCTCTTTCATAATAATGGCAAATTATGTTAGTTACAACAGCTAGTATATTTTCAGACAAGCAGTGTAAGATTGTAACACAAGTACAAGCATAATATTAGTGAATTAAATACCCCAAAAAATCTGCAAGAAAAAAATATTCATTCATACAGGCCAATAAAATACAGAAGAGGCTTCTATGAAAAAATGACCAGCAAATTTAATTATCTGTTATCTGATGACACCTTATCAATGGAAATGAATGGCCATAAAATGAGAGCTATTAAAGTAACAGATGTGTGTTTCTGAAGATCTTTAGAAAATGACAGAAGAATTGTTAAAGACATGGCACAGATACCTGGAGAATTATTTTACCTATATAAATCTTGTTCAGGAATGTATACATTGATAAGATTTTTGTACAATAATAGTTCATGATTTGGAAAAGTTGATATTTACAAGCAGATAACCTGAAATAACAGGTTGTCTGCTCATAAATATCTGTGAAACAATATATGAATTATTTTAAAAATGTGTATTTTTAAGAAAGGCATAAAGGATAGATTTCCACCTGTTTCCTGATGTGGAAAACACACCATTTGCATGAAAGTGTTTAGAAATATACCAAAAGAACAAATTTATATAGAGATTGTGCACCTGTGAGTTGTTTGTATCTGAGGTTTCCTTCATTTGCTGTTTCATTGTTGACAGGCTGACCCAAAAAAGATTGTAGCTTTTCTTGAAAGATACATGTTGGAGTCAAGTGTAATGGCAGGAATAATTCCACTTTCCCTGACCTGAAAGTGTATTAAGAAAAACAGGCTAGCTCTCTTCAAACTATTCTCTGAATGGCCTCTGTTTAGTCACACAGGGAATTTACTCAAGTGTAGTCACAAAATAAAAATGTTAATTGAAGCAAATAACATTTGCCCCATTCAGTATAATGTAATATTCTAAAAGAGCTAACGTTGCACAATAACATCAGCAAAAGAAACTTATTCTGGGGCTTTGCCTTTCAAATCCTAGATATAGAGGCTTCTTACTGACCAGTAAGATTACTGCAACTATCACTTCCTGCATTGTAACTGGAAGGACAGAAGACCCAACTTCCACAGATTACAAGCACAGTATCTGCTGGGTGAATTTGCTCTTTGGGCAGAAAAAGAGATGATATCCATAACTATACAAGGACTGTTCTCTATGAATAATCTCTGTGTCAAAAACATCAGAACTACATGACAATAGGAACCGGAAAATTGGTCGTTAAAAGGTGCAGTCATTATGTGAGTCACCATGGGACCAAACCCAATATTATGAACACTTTTATGATGGTCATTAAGTGAATCATGTGGTCGTTAAGCAAATCCAGCTTCCCCAATAGACTTTTTTGCCAGAAACTGGCAGAAACTGCAAAAAGGGTAGCAAATTGCAATCATGTGACCACAGGATGCTGAACTGGTTGTAAATGCAAACCGGTTACCAAGCGCCCAAATTGCGATCACGTGATTTCAGGGGTGGTGCGATGGTTTGCAACAGTCATAAGTGCAGGTACAGGTTGTAAAGCACTTTTTCCGAGGCTGTTGTAACTTTGGACCATTGTTAAATGAATGGTTGTTAAGCAAGGACTACCTGTATCTGTAAAAGTTAGATTCTTTATGTGCGGATCATCTTTGAATTTTCAAGATATACCATGAATCCCAAACAGTCCAGAATTCATCTACCTGCACAGATTAGGCTACTAAGAGCCCAGTATTTATGACTGAATTAACACATTGTGCCAAATCATAGTTGCTTACCTATAAGTTATTGAATAACCATAATTGTTGGGTTCAAACAACATGTTATGCCAAAACCAAACAATGATGTGCAAGCTGGGGCTACATCACACAACGTGCAAGCAACCTTGTATCATAACGTGTCACTAAAATGGAAACAACAGTGACAGGAAAATACTACAAAGAGAACACTTAAGAAAAAACTGCTCTGTTCCTCCCTCATTAATCTCTGCAATCGTCCAATGATAAATTGAGTAGGAAAGGTCATGCTCTATATTTCTGACAAAATTCTAGGAAAACTTCCACCCATGGTCCAAGCCCCTGTATAGAACCCATTAAGAGTACTGCACAAGACATATCACTTTTTAAAAATAGATTTTAAAAAATATAAAATTCCACTAAAACTAGATTTCGTAGACAGTACCTATTTTAGATTTGCTAACACACACACACATAGTAACAATCAATCAATCAATCAATCAATCAATCAATCAATCAATTGTCGAAGGCTTTCATGGCCGGCATACGATGGCTGGTGTGGGTCTTCCGGGGTGTGGGGCCGGGGTCT